AAAAAAAATTTGATATTAACTGGATAAATGCACTATAAGTAAATTTGATTAAAAGCTACTCAAGGTTGAATAAAACTTGCGATCACTATGAAAATAGTTGTACGTATACAGTTGATTTTGTGAAACTTAAAATTTATACAACGTTCTAGAATTTTCGCTCAATCTTGGCTAAATTCTACTTTACAAATTTTACACAGCCAGTTGTCTCATCGTAAATTTTACTCAACTTTATTTGGAGTGTGAGACTTACGGATAAATTACCCTACTTCAGTCGTCGACCCGCTCAAAACCAGCATAGAAATCGACTGCTTCGTACAAAAATCCTGCAAAACTAGAGGGGTCAATTGATCCACGAAATTATTTCCAAACTCTACCCTTAGTTTTCTAAACGATTTTAGCATCATCCTTTTCTCGCGGATACCACAATTCTGCTCTGCTTTCACCTCTTCTCTCCATCCCCGCAACAATCTATCCCCCAAAATGTATACCCTCGCTGCTCCAGTAAACACTAACACATTAAACATCGCCACATCCAAGTAGACACTGACATAAATCGGCATTGTGTAAAAACCCAGCTGATCGTGCAACTTGATCAACGCGAAACAGCTGGTGATCTGTAATCCTGGCAGAGCAATGGATACCATGGGCAGGATCCTACTTTTTACCGCGGCATTTAAAAGTTTCTCTAAGACTTGGAGTTTTCTGTACACCGACATCTTTGGATTTTCAAAATTCGCGGCTATGTTGCATTCTGCGACGAGATAGGCGATCCCTGTGAGCAAAACGTCGACGTTATAGAAAGTTCCGCCAATGAAGGTATTTGAAAGGACGAAGCCTTCCGTGAGTGCTAAGGTGAGACGGAGGATTGATTGAGGCATGGTGAGATTAGAGGTGGAGGAACATAGGGGCGATGAGGTGGGGAGCAGGAAGGAACCGATTAGGGGTTCTATGCACGGCGAGAAGTAGACGAGTATCACGAACCCGACCGGGAGGCCGATATAGGTCACGTTCATCATTGAATAGAAGATGTGCAAAAGGCAGGAAAGGATGCGGGTAGTATGATTTTCTGAAAAAAAGTAGAATTTTCTTGAATAATTATTATGTATGTATGCAATTATTGCCATCATAAATCCTGTATAGTCACGCAGATATTTATTTCTATGTAGATGTTAAACTTGCTATTGCTTGGTACTAAAATTGTACCAGTCCGTAAACCTTTCCTACTGATAGGGTAAAACTTTACTACCGAGCTATTAAATATTACAACGCAGTACTTGTCAATACCACCTCGGTATAGTAATAAATGCATACTGCTTGGTGTTAATTACATACTGGACTTATGTATAAGAGTGTGCTTAATCCTTGGTTCATACATAATACGTTTAATTCGCAAATTCATCTGGGTCTTATCCGTTTCTATTCCCCTGGGTACTATTTATCTAGTACTGGATTTCTAAAAGTGTAACCTTTACCTATGTACGAATTTCTGCTTATTAGTGGAATTTCAGTTACCTACATAATTTGGTGAAAAGAACAATTTCATTAGCATTTCACAAGTTTATAATTAACCAACACATTAAAAAATACCACGACTTTTGTAAAAAATTCTTTAGAATTATCACGGATTTAGTTCAACCCACCTTTTACTTCCGTATTTGCAATCAAATTCAACATCGCCACGGGAGTGGGATCCACTTCCCAATCCCACCAGATCGTGGTACAGGCAACATAAACCATGAAGAGAAAGCAGGCTTGCGTCTTCTCCATGATTTCCATCTCCTTCAAAAAGATGTAGGCTGGTTGTGCTGCCAGATAAATTGTGCAAAAGATCAGAAAAACTTTCACACGTGTGAGCACATTTCTACTCCGTTTTACGAGACAATTCCTTTCCTTGTCCCACGTGAAGTTGGAACAACTCAGAAAATCGGCCAGCTTGCAACGAATCTTTAACCGTTGGACGACAACGGCACGGAAAGATTTATTTAGATTTATCATGGCAGACTAATTTTTGAAAAAGTATATAAAAAAACTTTGTTACTTTGGCTGAAATTTTATTTTTTGTTTAATTAGATTAAGCCAAGTTGGTTACAATGTACAAATAACTTCAATACGCCGGAAATCGAAGCCATCGATGCTTTCACTGGCGAGATATGAAACTTATCCAACTTTGATATGTCGCAAAATTGTGTAATTGATTATAAATACTTTTCGTCATCAGACATTAATTGACCAAAGCAAATAAAGCTGAAGGGGAATGTTTAGTTGTGCTGGTTAAATTGATTGAAATGGGGATTATTTCACCGAAATTGTTAACCCTTCCATGATATTAATAACACCAATTAAATATAATTGTGTTTACTCTAAGACCAATTACTTGTCAATTAACCTGGTGGACTAAAGTTTAGTCTGTTTCGCAACTGCTGAAAGAGAAACAACTTGTCCCCAATAAAAATATTTACATACGTACATACTCATCTTGTTTTAAAACCACTGTCGTTTCACTTTTATTCGGACATTCGGACATTCGGTTCAATTTTTAATATGCACGTGTAGTGTCATTGGGAAAAAATATTTGTAAGGCGATACACAGTTTTCTAGAATCAGAGCACGTGTTTTTATTAAAATTTAATAGATTCTATTGATCACGTCAATTGATTCCAAATATTCTAAGTTATTCATCTTTGTTTAAATGGTTTGAGCGTTCCCAAGTATCGTAAAATAATTTTGCCTGTCAAATGCTATATACTAGCAATTATTGTTTTAAAGCTACTTTATCACGAACGTGTGGACAGTTGTTATCAACAACTTGGGTATTTACCTATTTAGCCAAATGGGTTAAGCAATTGTATGTCTATATCAACACATGCTAACGTGTGTATGCATGCATGCCGGAAATTCAATTAATCCAGAGCTTAACTTCGTAACGCCATTTTACATTCATGAAATTTGTTATGATTATGTAGCTTGGAGATGGTTAATGCAGAAATCGTGCGTCACGAATGCAGTCAATCTGTCAGTGTAATTCATACTTCCAACTTAAAGACCCTCTTAGAAACAAATCAAAGAAATACAAAGCGGTATTCATAAATATGTAATCCTACCAAAGTTATATGTATTTATACGTAATACGGTGTAACAACAGTTAGGCATTAAAGTTTTACAATATCGGTAGCAATTTTTTATTTTAACACCAAGCAATGGCAGCTTTAATACCGGGAAGTTAATACCCATGTTCTTCATATATGTACGAGATTGTTAACTGTGTAGAAAAATAAAGTCTTGGAGAATGGAAATTGAGGTTTCTTCCTCCACCTGAAATAAATCATAAATTTTTCAAGTCTGACAGCAAATATTTTGATAAATTCAAACATTCCACAAACTTCAAGAAATGTTGGTTGTGTTAATCCAAAATACGTAATTTGAAATACGGAGTGTTGCACTTTACACACACTATTGCAATGTAAGTTTGTTTATTATGTTGTCATAAATTTGAGACTAATTTAGAATTTATGGTTTGGCCTGATTATTGGGTATGTATTTATTATTTGATAAATTCTTAGTCTAAAGTGAAAACGCTTATCAAGCTTTTTATTTTGCATGAACAAATTTGTATCTCTTCATTGCTGATGAGAATGATAAGCTCGTTAGACTGACCTAAGCAGTACGAAAATCACTGCTTTAATTATACATTTATGTAGGTTGGATACAAAAATTTAACCTGTTAGACGGTCCATGTATTGACGAAATTATTATAAGGAAGTGCGCCTAGCGCAGGAGACTGGCATAAAAATGTGGATATCTGGAAATATAGCAGACTGGGTTTACTGAAAATTTACGATGATAAAGTATTGACCTTACCCTACAACCACCCTAAGCCATAGTTTGCTATGTTTCGCGTGTGGCTTCCACAACCACTTTGTTCCTGAAAACTCCCAAAAAAATTTTCTCACCCACCTCGAGCGAACTTGCTACCACATTCTGTTGAATCAAGTTTATCCATTCGGTGTTTCTGATTCCTTAGGATATTAGCTTTTAAAATCTGTCTCTACTTTTTCAATGTGACGACATCGGGGAAAGTTTGGGACAATTTCCTCTCGGCAAAAAAATCAAATTTTTTTTAACTTTTTGGCAATTTTTTAGGAATTTTGACTTCTTGACAGCAAGTTACGTCCAGCCAAAAAATAATTTTCTGCAGAAGATGATGACCAATGGCCATAGATTCCAAAATTCATTTTATCCAGTTTTTTGCGTACGTATTTTGGTCACTGGGATCATTTATAGTGAAGAATTCAGGGTCATTTATTTTCTGACAAATCCCCGAATTTTTTGATAAACTTGCTTGTCACTTTTAATTTGAAGCCATATCAGACTTCCTGACCCTTGACTGAAAAGAAAACCGGCCATTTGAAAATTCGGCTAAATTCGATTCTGGTCAGCCATATGAGTTTAGTTTCGAGCATATTTTTTGAAAAATTGTATGCAAAGTGCCCACTTTGAATTTGACCTATAAAAGTTGCAGGCATTATTTAAAGTAATACATCATGTGTTTTTAAGTCAACATAAGTTTGTCTAAAGATTCAAGAAAAAATTGTGTTTTTAAATCCGCGTACGAAGCCACACGGCGTTTTTCGACCAGTCTCATCCGCTAGGCGCACTTCCCTAATCTCTGCTTGTCGAAATATGACGAACGAGTTGTTTCGGCGGGGGTACTAATATAATACATAGATAAATTAGAATAGGTACGACGATTACGAAAAAGTTATACTGGTTTATGTGCATCGTGAAATATTGGATGACTGCAAAATGTCACAGTTTTTGGCTAATAGTCGAATTTAGTCTCCGGAAAATGAGGAAAGTTTTCAATTTCGTTTTCAATTTCTCCGATACATGTCGTTAACCAAACATCTGCAAATTTTTCGACGCTAATTATTTCAGGTTAACTGAGTCCTTCATGACAATTTGATGCATGTATGCATAAGACTAAAATAATATAGACAAGCTGAAATTGGCAACTATTTATTGAAAATACTATTAATGCATATTGAATTTGGAAATTCATTTTCCAAATTCTAATCCATCGTGCGCATATAAACATGTAGATAGAATAAGAAAATCGTCAATAATTAAGAATTACTCCGAAATAATAAATGCATTAACTTATTTCGGTTGTGCTGGATAAAACTGCAAATTATGTAGAATTTAGCTAACGTTATCTGTCGACTGTCGAATGTCTGAAATTATGACAAAATTTGTCTTTCACTGATTGAGGCCTACATTACACTACATTACACAGTGTATCAAACAATTGAGTGCACGTTGACATTTTTTTAATTACGATATGATGCCGTGTACTGTTATGTCCCACTCCGGTGGTTCACACAGAGACCCCACATCGTCGGCTAGGGGGGGAAGAGATGATGAACAAGTCGATCGTCGTCGTTGTTGTACATGGAAATAAATTGCGTCTTGGAGGCAAGGTGAGATTTGGTGAGACAAAGTCAGGACAGGTTTTATTGCACGTATCAAGATACAGGCAGTCGACTCGCTGTCGATGGTCACTCTTGTTCTTACTTATATACGTATACCTATTTAGTCTACTTATATGTCTAACCGGTTATTGGGTGGTAAGAGTTGTAAGAATTGTAAGAGTTGCCTTTTTGACATAGTAATCATTGAGCACTAACACAACTACGAAATGGAGATAGTGAGAGTTGCAGATCTAAAGAACCAGTTTTTCAATCAGGATGTTGGCCAAGATCACATCTTTACAGAGTAGATGTTGCAATTAAAAATTGCAACAGAAAGTGAGTCAATCACTTTCACACAAGACAACGTGATACCTAAATAATCGGGTTCTTTACAATATCCGACTTTCTTATACCGGGCCCCGGTCCAAAATTAAATGTGAGATTTAATTTAGCGGTCTGCATTATTGTTGTTTACAATTATTAGTGATTTTAAAGGTAGTGTTATTTTAACAGAGTTGGTAAATTAAACTAATTGGTAAAATAAACCACTTAACCAATATAACCCGATATTTGACAATACGGAGTACTTATGCTAACAAATTTGAGCATAATTTGACAAAATTTTAATATAGGTAGATGGATTTTGTAAAGTCTAATTCCTAACAGAGTATGGAAATATACGGATATTATCGTTATCCTATATATATCTATAAGAGGGGTCACGGGAACCAGAAAAATTGTCTCGTGCAACTGAGGCAAGCCTCTGGTGTACGAGCAATTTGTATTGGTGGAATATGCTTACATATAGGTATAAAATGACACCTAGGAGAGAGATAATTTAGTATATGAGCTAAACCTGAAGGAAGAGAAAAAAAATGTGCATACTGTATGATACACTATCGTGTGTTAGACAGGAATGCACTTTTTAACTATGTCTAGATATGCAACTAATATAAAGGGTGTTAATAAAGTCCGATCCCATTTTTCCTATAAAAAAGTGAAGGCTAGTATAAAAAAAACTACCCGTGATACTTACAAAAAATGTTCGACATATTTACCTTAGTATTTGGTCTTGTTACCATTTACTTTAACCATGCCCTCAACTCTTTGTTTAAGGCTCTGTGCTAATTTTTCCAATGTGTCTGTGGGAATCGAATTCCATACATCTTGAACTTTTTTTACTAGCTCTTCCCTCGTCCGGGGTTGTGGTTCTTTGTATACATTTTCCTTAAGTATGGACCACAGGTTCTCCAGGGGATTCAAATCTGGGCTGTTTCCGGGCCACACCCCCTTGCTCCAGACCGTTGAAACTTGCGTCTTGATGAGACTCAAACTCGCTTTTGCTGTATGGGCTGTAGCACCATCCTGCATGAAAACTATTTTTCTTTCATTCGGAAATATTTCCTTGTTCCCCATGCTATCGAAATAGATAGGTAATATTTTTTCCATATAATACTTTGCATTGACTGTTTGGCCTTTTGGTATGATATGTAGAGGAGTCACGCCACGTGCACAAAATCCACCCGCTACCATAACTTTAAGCCCGAATTTTGGGACTACTCTTGATGGTACATCCGATTTGTTTTCTGTCCTGTAACGAACATTTTGTTGGTTCAATTTTGGATATAGCTCAATAATAGATTCGTCAGTCCAAAGGATGTGACTGCGCAATTCTTCACCAAGTCTTTTTTCACTCAAATGGCCACTTTTCTGAAGGAGTTCTCCAAATTTCAGACGGTCATCGATATTTTTTTGTGACATGAGAGGTTTTTTGGTTAGTTTGTAAGCTGTGTGACCCCACCTCGTAGATTTCACAAATTTTTGCACGGTCACATAGTTAATTTGCTTCTTCTTCTCTTTATAGCGTTTTGAGTCATTTAACTCACTTGCACAATTACGTAATGAACTACCGGTTTTCTTGTAAAGTCTGTTTTTAATCATTCTAGGGGGGGAAGAGATGATGAACAAGTCGATCGTCGTCGTTGTTGTACATGGAAATAAATTGCGTCTTGGAGGCAAGGTGAGATTTGGTGAGACAAAGTCAGGACAGGTTTTATTGCACGTATCAAGATACAGGCAGTCGACTCGCTGTCGATGGTCACTCTTGTTCTTACTTATATACGTATACCTATTTAGTCTACTTATATGTCTAACCGGTTATTGGGTGGTAAGAGTTGTAAGAATTGTAAGAGTTGCCTTTTTGACATAGTAATCATTGAGCACTAACACAACTACGAAATGGAGATAGTGAGAGTTGCAGATCTAAAGAACCAGTTTTTCAATCAGGATGTTGGCCAAGATCACATCTTTACAGAGTAGATGTTGCAATTAAAAATTGCAACAGAAAGTGAGTCAATCACTTTCACACAAGACAACGTGATACCTAAATAATCGGGTTCTTTACAATATCCGACTTTCTTATACCGGGCCCCGGTCCAAAATTAAATGTGAGATTTAATTTAGCGGTCTGCATTATTGTTGTTTACAATTATTAGTGATTTTAAAGGTAGTGTTATTTTAACAGAGTTGGTAAATTAAACTAATTGGTAAAATAAACCACTTAACCAATATAACCCGATATTTGACAATACGGAGTACTTATGCTAACAAATTTGAGCATAATTTGACAAAATTTTAATATAGGTAGATGGATTTTGTAAAGTCTAATTCCTAACAGAGTATGGAAATATACGGATATTATCGTTATCCTATATATATCTATAAGAGGGGTCACGGGAACCAGAAAAATTGTCTCGTGCAACTGAGGCAAGCCTCTGGTGTACGAGCAATTTGTATTGGTGGAATATGCTTACATATAGGTATAAAATGACACCTAGGAGAGAGATAATTTAGTATATGAGCTAAACCTGAAGGAAGAGAAAAAAAATGTGCATACTGTATGATACACTATCGTGTGTTAGACAGGAATGCACTTTTTAACTATGTTGCAATTAAAAATTGCAACAGAAAGTGAGTCAATCACTTTCACACAAGACAACGTGATACCTAAATAATCGGGTTCTTTACAGTACTTAGAGCTTCTATACTTCGCAGGCATTTGTATAAACTCATAGCCGAATAATTCCGCGTCGCCGATTTTTAAGGTCACCGAAAGGTCAAAGGTCAGAATTTTTTTAGCAATTCAAAAAAAGGGCCCAAAAATAAAACTTCAGGGATAATTTTTTTGGACTTTCTAATATTTTTTATTGGATACCACAAGGCCTTACGAAGAAAATGAGCTACCGAACGAAAATCTACGATCTTTTTGACGCCCACAGGAATTTTTCGCCAAAAACGGTTTTGAGGCCTAAAATCGTGACCGCGGCGAAATTAAAAGAATTGAAATATACAAAGCATGTAGAAAGTGCATGTATGTTTTTGTATATTTCATACAGTTCAGTTTCGCCTCGATCACGATTTTAGGCCTCAAAACCGTTTTTGGCGAAAAATTCCTGTGGGCGTCAAAAAAATCGTACACGGTCGTACGATAGCTGATTTTCTTCGTAAGGCTTTGTGGTTTCCAATAAAAAATATTAGAAAGTCCAAAAAAAATTATCCCTGAAGTTTTATTTTTGAGCACTTTTTTTGAATCGCTAAAAAAATTCTGACCTTTGACCTTTCGGTGACCTTAAAAATCGGCGACGCGGAATTATTCGGCTATGAGTTTATACAAATGCATGCGAAGTATAGAAGCTCTAAGTACACGGTATCATATCGTAATTAAAAAAAACGTCAACGTGCACTCAATTGTTTGATACACTGTACGACGTCCTTCCGATGCCGATTTATTTCTCGTTTCTAACCCTTTCGGGAACGATTTTGTTTTTTGTGGATCTCACGTTGCCCTACGGCCATAGATTGCTTGAGATGCCGGTAGAATTTTTGAACAGGCGTAACACCTCAGCGGGAATTAGGGGTGGCATTTCGGGGAAATATATGCGATGCAAATTACGCGGGATGAGACCGTTACTGTTTTACTCTGGATTTGGAGGGATTAGGCTATTCACGGTTATATAGTTCCCGGCAATAAATACCACACAGCGTAAATCATATTTAGAGTATATTTTTAGCTAAATTCGTACGAGGTTTAAATTACCAACTTCCTTGCAGCCACCCTACTTGAAGCTGGGAATGGGCGTCAACCTTTATCAATTAATAGAACTTGCCACTAAAATTTTGAAAATCGAAATGGATTTCCAATAATAATTTTCTGTCCCCAAAACCCGTTAGCTGATAAACGATTGACCTCTCCAAGATTACAAATAATTTGGAGACCACTTAAAATTAAGATAATTAACTATAAATACATCGAAATTGTATCAATCGTATTTAATGTAATTCGACTACTTTGTTGAGTCAGCAATTAGCCCATCCCAGTTCTTCATATATGAAACTATACGTAAGACAGGAGTAATCTTGTCAAACTAACTTGTGCTTTTGTTGTACTTGATTTTATGTTCTCCATGTCGGGTAGACTCCCATATCAAAAGCTGAATCATTGAAAAACCATGTTATAACATTATCTATATAAATTTACAAATGTGCCAACAATGCATGCGACGTAGAAAGTTACAGCTTATATAAGTCATGAATATTAAAATGATTTATCATGGTCATGAACCATGATCAGGCGTCCATATTATGCATGAAGTTTGAATTCGACCTTAATTACAGATTTGTCCTACCAACTCGTGAAAAAATCTATGCTTTGATTCGACTCCAAAATAATTGTATCGGTGTATGTATCTGAACGTAAATAATTATACACAATTGCATTATTAATGTATTTCTAAGAATTACCAATTCCGCGAAATTAATTATTGATCTATCCGGGATCTCTATGTCTCGTGGTATATGTTTATAATTAATTATACAAGCGACGGGAAAGCCTCGCTGCTTGCCATTATCCGATTTCGAAGCCTTTATTAGATTGCTAGCACCAGCCCTGCCATTTCCCTTTCACGGTTACGATAAAAATGAACACAGGAAGTTGCTTTATCAGATTCAGCTTATCAAAAATGGGCTTTTGATAATGTCCTGAGAATTTTATTTTATTGTAAAGATTTAAAAGAAAAAATGCAGGCCGTTTAAAATCCTTTTGAGAGTCTTTAGTAGGTGTGGAAATAAGGCAATCAATAAGGCATGATATGCCCCAGCATATGATCTTGTCACTCATGCGGCACTGCAATTTATACAATATGCATAGAAATCTGATGGAGGCAACTAGTGCAGTTCTCCTTCCCAAAATAATTGCAGTATTAATTACTCAATTTCGGTTAATTAATTATTGATCTGTATCTCGGACGAATTTCTTCGTAGTTCCGCATTTCAGTTTCTCATCGTTTCTTGTAGCTTACTTAAATAATTTCCAAATATGTACATACATACATAATAAATCGCCGGAAAATATTCCTTCCAATACAAATAAACACTTACATATCTATGTACAATTGTTAGATAATTTAGACTCTCTGAATAATGAATAGTATTGTCGATTAAATATCATTATGTAATTATTGATCGTAAAATATATATTATTATATCAATCTAACGACGAACTAATCGTTGACAATGCTTAAATTTTGAGCTTGTCTGGAACACCATCAATTCTGCTTAACAACGTACGTATGTTTGGTACACTTCTGAACCATTTTTGCTTTCACGAGCTTTCCAGAACACAGTATATTTCCAGTTTTATTGGGACTGGAAATATTTAAGCCTAGACATGTACATATTTACATTTGAATAGTCATACTTTTACTACTAAACTTTTCTCCTGATCAAAAATTTCCAAAATGAAAATTTCCAGGAAATCATTCCGAGCCGTGGTGATCCAACGGTTAAGGAGTCGCTGCAAGCTTGCCAGTTTGGTTAGCTGTCTGTACTACAAATGGGACAAGGAGAAGAATCAGATCGTAAAAGAAAGTGCAAGTGTGATCATAAATGTGCGAGTATTCCTACTTGTTACGACAATCTATTTGATGGCACAATTAGGCTCGATCGGTTTGACAGAGATGGGAATTCAGGAGAAGACGCAGGCCTGCTTTCTCCTCATGGTTTATGCAGCATGTGTCGGAATGTGGTGGGATTGGGAGGTGGACCCCACAGCGGAGGCATTGGTGAATCTGATTGCTAATAGTGAGGTGGAAGGTGGGTAGTTTAGTAACAATTTTTAATTTACAATTATATTTAAATGGGCACGAATTATTAAGTAGCGTCAGCTACTTATTGTGATCGTTTTGTCCGTCCGTCTGTCCGTAAGCAGGATATCTCCAGAACGAGTCAACATAATCAAACCCCGTTTTCGCCATTGTGCTTCTAATTTTTAGTTCTCGGTCGAGTTCGAAAATGGGGTCAATCGGACCACACCCAACAGCGCCAGGGGGTGTGGTCAAGATTAAATTTGACTTTAATTTTCATATGTGGTATCATTTTAAAGGAAATTTGACGGAGATTTCAAAGATGTTAATATTTTTGACCTCGTGACCTTGGCGACGAGGTCAGAGGTCAAGAATTGCATAATTGTCATATGGGGTGTCATTTTAAAGGAAATTTTACGGCGATTTCATGGACGTTAATATTTTTGACCTCATGACCCTGAGATCGAGGTCAAGGGTTAAAGATACATAATTGTCATGAGATATGGGATCTTTTTAAAGGAAACTTGGATCGCTCTGACGCTACTTTTTTAAATTCGTTTGGAGGGTTTATTTAATGTTTTCCATGAAAATAGATCCTTAGGTTTATTTGATACTTCAAAAAATCCATTTTTTCTACCTAGAAAATCGTACCACCCTCATTCTCACCAGGGTCTTGCATATCTTCTATGCAATGATGCACCTGACGTACTTCGTACTTCCGCTCGGGTTTGCCGCACTCGTCTTCTTTGCTCCTTGTACAGCGCCACTAATTGGCTCCATCATGCTCCCCAGGTCATCTCCATATTGCTCAACGTTCACAACGAATCTTACGCTACCCCAAATCCTGGTGCGTCTCAACTTGGCAGTCACGGACGGTCTCCTCCTATCAAAATGTTTCATTGGGGGAACATTCTACAACATGGACGTCCTTCTTACAGGCATCGCCTTTCTCGTCTTGGAATGCGACATCGCAGCGAATTGTGAAAATCCAAAGCTAACAGTATACAGAAAATTGCAAGTATTGGAGAAAATTTTGAACGCCGCGGTGAAAACGAGGGTCCTGCCAACGAATTCGTTTGTCTTGCCGGTATTGCAGATTGCCAGCTGTTTCGCGCTAGTCAAACTGCACGATCAACTGGATTTTTCGGAATTACCGATTTACGTCGTTGTTTACGTGGATGTCGTGGTGTTTAACACTTTAACTTTTACGGGGGCCGCGAGGGTCTATATTTTGGGGGATAATTTGTTAAGAAGGTTGTGGGAAAAGATCCGAGGCGGACGAAAAGGTAATTCTCGCGGGAAAAGAATGATGCTAAAGTCATTTCGAAGATTGAGGGTGGAGTTTGGAAATAATTTCGTGGATCGCTTGACCCCTCTAGTTTTGCAGGATTTTTGCGCGAAACAGTCCATTTCAATGTTGGTTGTGAGCAGCGCGGCGAAGAAGGCGTTTTGAATGTCTGAGAATCATGATAACCCAATGAAATGAATTTCATTTAAGATTTAAAAGACTCACCAATTAGAATCAAACAAAATTATAAGTTTATTAAAAATTTGGCAAGGTTTGTGTTAATAATGCACTGTTCGAAACTTTTGGCATCAGGGTTTGATTTCAGGCAAGCGTTGAACTCAATATTCAAAGGTAATTCAAACAATTAATCCTTTAATAAATGCGTACATATCTACATATATGAGTCCTAAGTTGTAGCAGTAATGATCCAAATAATGCTGTATTAATTACTTAATTTGCCATCAAATCTTGCTTTGTACTAAACATTTACATATGCAGAGACTCCTTGATTCTTATTACTGATACTTCCCTTATTAATGCACTTCCTTGTATATAAAAGTGTGATAAGGACGATGCAAATTAATAACTTGATTTAATTAATCGTGTCCTCAATACAATTTTTGTCTCGGCATTGGGACCTGATACATAAATATGTATCGAGTTTAATTGATTCCACTCTAATTCTTGCAATAAAAGGCAAACAAATCATTGACAAAATCATGTACACAAATTAATGTGCACACTTGCAACGAAATTAATGCAATGAAAGTCAAAGTTTGGACAATTGGAATGAATAATTGCTGCGGAATTATCTCACGACAACGGTGGACTACCGATTTAATCCTGAGGGTAACACCACGTCACCACATTATTAGGTTAGTTAATTAAATTAAGGTAATTAAATTAAGTCATATTAATAAATTTCAAAGTATTCAGAGAATTAATCACTATATAACATTTATTTACCCATCCCAGCTTGGAAGCAAGTGAAGTCAGACAAATGTGCATACATAACCACAAGCAAATATGTATTACCAACAATAAATGTTTAGGAATGCGATAAATCCTAAATTTCGTGTCACATACATAGTCACACTTTTATCCACATATTATTTAGAGTGGTCCCATTCGATCCGCCGACCTACGTGTTCACATGTGAACCTTGCCGTTATCATGTAAACACGTTATTCATGTATAAATTATGCAAATAGCATTACTTGCTATTCATGCTTTACACATTTTTGATGAGAAAGAGTTGCGTAGAGGTTCCAAGCGTTCCAAGTGACAGGTATCAATCAAAGTTGTGTTCCGCTCTTCTATATGACGTTTTTACATCTATGAATTTAGTTCCATCAAACAATTACTAATAAGTCATACCTGACAAATAAGTTGCGTATTGTTCTCAAGCGATGCCATTGAGGGACTTAATTTCTCTGGGGATTATTTCCCCCATCATTTTGAATCTCGTTACAGGACAAGGTTTGCAAATATTCGAGCTTCTCTTTTAAATATATACTCGTTTGAAATTCGAATACTGATGCAATGTAACTTTTTGAAAAATAATTTGGAGCAAATTTTCTAAAAATAATTTGCAACATATTTTGCATATTTCAATAGTAGCCCCGACCGGATATTGTCCTCAACCTTTCGTCAACCAACCATGCCACTTCCCATTTGACTCCTGCCCCCCAGGATTTGGGATCAGCTACGATTACGACAATTACCAGCAGCTACAGTGCATCTGCACGCGACCTTTGACCCCACCAGAGCAAATGGCCCGAAACAAGTGCAGATGTCGAGGATACATCGACCTCTGTCTGGCGACGCGATTTGGTCACACGTCATACTCGTGTGGCGTTGCGGTTAACATTTGTCCGGTGGAGGACCGCTCCGAAATTTGCAGCGGGTATCAGCAATACCGAAAATTCAGCTATTACTGCGACAGAACACCGTCTCCTGTAACGTTTGAAGAAGGGCGGGAATCTTGTACGGCGATGGCGCTAGAATTGTGCTACACGAATGGGTGCGATCTCCGCATGACGTGGGAGGATTGTTGTAAAAGCGTCAAATTCTTATGCGGGGAGGGATTTAATAATCCCGAAGTGATTTTTAGAATTGCGTCGTCATTAATAACTTAATCATTGGAAATTTGGAATAAGGTGCAAAAAGTCGGATGTATTAAAATTTAATAGGATTTAAATAATGCCTGTACGTAGATATGTATGTAGCAAAAAATAAAAAATTGACGTTCTGAGATAATTATCTCTTTGTTATTTTTATAATCTACAATTTCAGATTTAAGAAATTGCTAATTATGAGAATTTAAATATTAAAAGCCTTGTCAACAAGATTGAGTAGAAATATTTATCGAATTTATTTTATAATTTTGTTATTAACAAAATTTTGTAATTAACAATTTGCAAAATCATTACAATTTATTATGAATTTACAAGTGCTTTATCATAGATCTATGTACATATAAATAAATATGCAAAATATTTTTTTGTACTTGACCGTAATTTGACTTTATTTAAGTTTGAAGAAGAATGCATGGATTCTGAGGACATTATATTGGCTAGGATTCCTAGCCAGTTTCGTCTATTTCAGACTAAAAATCTCCGTGGGACGAAAAATTTCCGTTCTATAAGCTCAATGCATGCTATAAGTTTATATTTCTCACCAGGGATTTTTTCCTGTGAAATATTTATAAAACGCATTCTTAAAGAAAAATGCCTTCAGAAAAATTATCGAAACTATTCGAACCTATCTACCAAAAACTTACCGCTATTCTATTAATCAACGTGCTGACTATAAATGTATCGTACAGAATCAGCAAATACGGAGGGTAGCTGACATCCGTGAAAACGTTTTTGACCTTTAATATCTTTGGCGCTAGTAGAAATTTTGAATTGAAATTTTTACAATTTGTTCACCTTATAGTCAGCATTATGGGTGCAAAATTTCAATTCTCTAGTGTAAAAAGCAGACCTTCAACTAACCCCAAAGTAAAACAATGATGACTTTTTTTGTTCCAGACATAAATTACCCTATGAAAGGACATGGAACAGTTGCTGATAGGCTAGAAATATTAGGAAATAGCAAATTGTGTGACCCCATGTCCGTAGTACACAATGCAGTTTAAATTTTGATAAAAAAATAACCGGGTAGAGTTTCAGAGTAAAAATTATAACAGCCCCCAATTTGTCAAAATTTCGCTAATTTTTCCGAAGTACCTCCATTACACGAAATTAAACATTTGTAGTACAAAATCTGTTTGCATTACCATCAGTAATGTCTCCTCTAACTACTAAAATAATAAACATGAACACATTTCAACTATTGTGATTTATAAAATTCCATTTAACAGAGAAATAAACTTTATTCACGCTTTTTTTGTACAAACCACCTGGTATGGAATGAATTTAAAAAAATTTGGGAAATTTTGAGTTATGTATGAAAGCCACATAGATGCCAAAAATTTTCATACCACCCAGTCTAGAGGTGAGCCAAATGCTCAGTTGAGCCGAGCTTGCTCGGGCTCGGCTCGGCTCAACCGAGCCTGAGCGAGCCGAGCTTTTTCGAGCTTTTCCTGAGTCGAGCTCGAGCGAGCCGAGCTTTTTCTGAACCGAGCTTGAGCGAGCCGAGCTTTTAGAGCTTTTCCTAAGTCGAGCTCGAGCGAGCCGAGCTTTTTCTAAAGCTCGTTATTTTCTAAAATTTCAAGTAAGGTGAAGTGAGAAATTTATATCCGTGTAGTTTAAACATACTTTTTCTCTCTTCACAATAATATTTAAACTGCACTCACAAAAAGTGAATCACATACGGTTTAAAATGTATGCATCAACTGCAAACCGTTGGTTTGACAATTTATTTTTTGGTTGATGTCAATCACTAATTGAAGTCAAATTGTTATATATCCAGTAGGAAAACAAAAGTTCTACATTTTTGCGTCTTGTTCTTTAATTAAACTATAAATATTAATTCAAAATTTAGTATGTATTATAGTATGTATGCATCTATGTCACAAAAAATGCTCAATTCAGCCGAATTTGATCGTGCACGGTTCGGTTCAACTGAGCTGAGCGAGCCGAGCTTTTTCGAGCTTTTCCTGAGTCGAGCTTGAGCGAGCCGAGCTTTTTTCGAGTCGAGCTCGAGCGAGCCGAGCTTTCTCGAGCTTTTCCTGAGTCGAGCTTGAGCAAGCCGAGCTTTGTTCGAGTCGAGCTCGAGCGAGCCGAGCTTTCTCGAGCTTTTCCTGAGTCGAGCTTGAGCAAGCCGAGCTTTTTTCGAGTCGAGCTTGAGCGAGCCGAGCTATTGAAAATCGCTGCTCGACTCACCTCTACCACCCACATCAAATTCCATCAACAATTCATAGTTCTAGAAGGTTTTAAAAATATTCTTTAACTTAAAATTTATGCAGTTTTGGAGTGTTTTAGAACACAACTATTTTTTCATATGCATATATCTCTGGCGCCATTTAGACTAGCAAATTGAAATTTTGCACCCATAATGCTGACTATAAGGTGAACAAATTGTAAAAATTTCAATTCAAAATTTCTACTAGCGCCAAAGATATTAAAGATCAAAATCGTTTTCACGGATGGGGGCTACCCTCAGTAATTCCCGAGAGAAATGATTAAAAATTTGACGACAATTTTTGTCCTAAGTCATCGAGGCCATGGTTACGCATTTTTTGTCTCAATTTCTCCAAGTCATGCAGTTTGCAGCCGCCCGGCTCGAATATTTCTTTTCTGATCTCCACGCGCTTGTCTTTGCTGCTGATTAAAAATTTGAAATTAACCGTTTTCTCATCATTACATTGCTACCTTCCCATTTTCATTCTTATCACTTGATTTAGTTGATAAGTGACCTGCAGCTAAAATGGAGCCGTCCCCTGCCATCATTCCCCAGGAAAAGTTGAAGATTTGGAAAATATTTCGCGACGTGGGACCCGAAGGAGAAGAAATTTTAAAGTTGGTGAAGTTGGCACATGTCGCCAACGAAAAGGAAGCCTTCGTCGTCACCTCGGCGGACGAAACGTTTTCCTTCCTCCGTGAGGAAGACGGTCTGTACCAAATTGCAAAAATTCCTGAACTTTGTCACGTCCAAGTCAAAGGTAAAGGTTGCAATAAAAATTTTCGCTAACTCACAATAAGCACATTTTTAATTATTCTTTTGCTCTGGGAATTAATTTAAAATTCTGGACGACAAATATTTAGCACAAAAGTCGTTGCCAATGTCCTAAAAATATAAATTCCAGTTTTTGAACGAGGACATTTCAAGGTTAAGAAGTCTTCAGAAAAATTCTAACTCATCGAAACTGGTCTAAAAATTAAAAAAAAATAAAAACTCAACCCAATTCCATTAATTAACTTACTGAGTACAAATTTGTAGTCCAGAATTTTGAAATAGATTCCGGCAGCTAAAAAATCATTAAAATAGGTTGATTTTAGCCATTTTGGTGGCATGTCATCCAGTTTTACACCTTAAAAATTGTGCAAATTACAAATTTGCAATTTTTTGTAGAATTGGTTACTGGATCAATCAACCTCGCAATAACGGAGGACGGACAACTTTACTCGTGGTGCAGTAATTTCACCTTGACAAAAATCCATAAAAATATTTATGAGCAGTTAGGTCGCTTCCGCCCGGTTTCAAAAACCTGTCCGGATCCAAACTTTATCAGTCACCCGGAAATCGTGACGTACACGGCAGCCGAGAAAGTGGTGCAAGTCGCCCTCTCAGAACTGCACGAAGGTCGCGTCGTGGCGTTAACCGGGGATGGAGATGTCATTCATTGGGGCGCGATCAGCTGGGACACGGACTCGCCAATTTTTATTCCGTGTGCAAAATTTGACAACAAGGAGCTTATCAGCATCGTGTGCGGGGTTGGTGGTATGACCTTTGCGTTAAGTGAGGATGGAGAGGTAAGAGCGAAAAGAAACCTTGGTGTTTTATTTAATTTTGAAATTGTATATTTACAGATATTTCAATGGAAGTTGGATGCAGGTTCGCCAACAAAATCGGACATTTGCAGCACCCCGGTTAAAAAGGTGATTGAAATAACGTACAAAAAATTCCAAGACTCGATGACTTATTACAAAATCAACAGATTTTCATTTATTTCTATGATCTGGGAATTTATTTTAAAATTCTGGACGACAAATTTGTAGTCATTAAGTTGATTAGTAGAAGAATGGAGGTGACCTTCTTAAGCCACTTTCGATTAGTTACAGTTTTTATGAAAGCTCCTTAACCTCTCCGCCTTTAAAAACTGTCAAAATCTGCAGGGTATATTTTTAAAAAATTAACAATGACCTGCTCTACAAACCTGTCTTTCATAATTTTGAAATAAATTTCCAGAGTCAAGTAATTATAAGAATTTTTAGTAACTTGCTATTTACTTGAAACAGCTTGTCGCGACAAAGGGGTGCACTTACGCGTTAACTGCAGACGGAACGCTTTACTTTTGCTGCACGGCACCCAACTGGAATCCGCTATGGGTGACGACGAATGAGTTCGAAAACGTCCAAGACATTGAAACCTGTTGGACGGGGAACGTTGTGGTTATCGAGTGGAAGAATGGCACCCGTCTCGCCTGGGATTTGACGACGAAGAAGTGGCCGTCTCTAAAAGCTGCCTCAGTGGACGAATATTTTGCCGAGCTTTGTCAAAAAAGTCACCGAACTATTGGGTCGCCAAGCACCAGTCCAGTGTGGAAGGAAGCGTTGGATCAGGAAATTTCCAACTTGTGGAGGAACAAGGTTACCGTAAATAAATTTTGGGGGAGGAAAAATTAGTAATGTTTTAATTGTTAACTTCACAGAACGATGTGGACGTCACATTTTCCGTGGAGGGGAAAACCATCACTGCGCATAAGTTGGTATTGGCGTCAAAAAGTGATTATTTTGCGAACATGTTTAGCACCGAATGGAAGGAAACTGCAGGATCGTGAGACTTTTAAAAAAGAAATACATATCTTTTATAATTGTAATGATTTTTTTGGGTCTGAATTTTACAGCGAGATTGACATCAAGGTCACAAAATACGTCACTTTTGAGGCCTTCCTCTTCTACCTGTACCACGGCAGGGTCACCTTCGCGGAGGCCGAGTACGAAAGCATTTTTGGTAAGGCGACTTCGATTTTTTGTGCACTTATGTAAATAAGTTGAATTTTTTGCACCACGAGCTGATGTAAGTATGACTTTAGTTAATGTTTGATTCCTATTAATTTAGTCCTTAGACCTCATGAAGTTAGCGGACTCTTATTGCGCCACCAACCTTGCTCGAGAATGTGAGAAGATTCTGATCCGTAGGATTAACCTGGGAAATGCTTTCTTCCTCGTTCGAAACGCTTCCTCCGCGAATGCTCTGGTAGATACGTGATCTGTTTTACTTTATTGATTCCATACGTACGTAATTTTTGATTTTGTAAATATTTCTTTTAGATTTTGGAGGGACAAGTGCTCAAATTCATTGTGGATTATCGAAACCAGTTAAACTTGAACAATTTGTCGCCTCAAGAGCTGATTGCGTTGATTGGACAGGATGCCCTCAATAAAGTGGCGGTTGCACTGCTCCAGCGCTAATGATGCATAGTTTATAGTTGAGAAATTAAAAAAAACGATTGTATTATTTTAGAATAAATATGACATGACTAAGGAATAATGAATTAATAACTGCTATTTAATTAGCCCAATCAAGGTTTTGCAACCAATTAATGGCGTAAAATCGCACAAACGACAATTAACTCTCATGGAAAATGAAATTCATGGAAAATTGCACTACAATTTGTTAAATATTTATTAACTAATTTGCAAGAAATACAGAACAGGAAATTCTTCAAACTTTGAAATATGTAAATGATGCCATGGAAGTCGTCGCTAAGTCCAAAAGTCAATCCCAAACACGACACGTCTCTCCCCCTTGAAACATCTTAAACTTGGACACCTCCATTTTGTTGGACACCATGAAATCCTTAATCTGTCTCCGAGATTCTACGCCAAACTGGAAAATTAAAATAAATTGCACTCAATAATGTAACACGAGTTTATCGGCATTAATTAATAAATCAATAAATACTTATCTGTAAATTTTCACTCACATGAAGGAAGAAAATAGTGACCTCATCCATTTCAACCATTTCCATAAGAAGTTTCTTAAACAGGTTCATCTCGTCTGTGGTCAAGTCGTGGCTACTCGGATAATACATGCACTTCAAAAGCTTAATTTTCAACGTTTTCAATTTTCCTGAAATTTCAATTATCAAAAGTACATAAATTTTGGACAAATTACTTTTCAAGATATTGTAATTACTTTATATCTATGAATTTGAACTCACCTTTAAACAAATCCTTATTATCCAACAGATCCCCAATGATATCCGCAACATTCCGTGGATACGAGGACACGCCCAAAATCAGATGTTTCAACCCCCTCCATCCCCCACACGTTGTCAGCACGACGCCCAACTCCGTACAAGAAACCGTCAACCAAGAAAGTTTCGTCCCGTAAAAGGAATTCACCTGTAACTTGCCCACGTTCGGAAACACAGGCCACAATCCCTCCAACAGGTTCGGATCGTACACCCCGATAAGCACCAGATTCGTCACGGTGCCCACGATCTGTCTCGAATTGGAGAGATCCTGCAAAATTTCATCCAAACGATTCGACGCTTTAAACGCTTCCCCAAGTTCCACCATGGTCAGACAGGGCATCGTCCCCGCGATGTTTTTGAAGAGGTCGTCGCACCGAAAAACGTCGACCATCTGATTCCGAAACGTTCGTAATTTGGACATCTTTCTTCCAGGCAAGACGATTTCAAAACGATCGGTCATTGTCATTCCAGCTTTTCCAAGACGCAGAGTGACCAGTTGATCACCGACTTGGTCCAAGATTTTCGACACGCCTGAAAGTTTGTCGACTTCCGTCGGCCAAAAGTAATCTTGCCCAATGGTTAATGAATCGAGTCGATTAGTAGGGGCGAAATCTGGACAAAATCCGAACGGAAGGGTGACCTCTTTTAAATTTGGGGCAGCGTTGACTACCAGCTGAGTAAAATGGGGAAGAACCGAATAGTTTGCCAGATTCCGGGGGACACTGACCGCGAACATGGTCAAGTTTTGTTTTGGTTGCATCGGTGGGAACAGTAATTCCGAAGGATTGTACGTAGTCAACGTCGCACGTCGGGTAACACTAATTAGTAACTGGGTCAAATTTGGACAGCTGTTCTTCAAAATTAGGTAAATCGGTGGTAAGCATTCTTCCGAATAGAGGGAAAACTCTAGAATTTGGATACGATGGCTAAACTTGTCGCAAACGTGGAGCAGCTTGGAGGCAAAGAAGTCGATCGTGGTTGTCGGGTGGACGGAAATTCCTCGCAAAGAAGACTTGCACGTGGCGCTGATTCGTTTCGTGAGTCGCTCATCTAATGTGAAGCAGAGCGTCTGAAAGGGAACGGGACCGGGGTCAATGTCCTCGTCGTCGTCGTCATCTTCGCTGTCGAATTGGAACAGGTTTTGATTTTCGTCGGCGAATGGATTTTTGCGGGTCAGCTTTAACGCGAGTCTCGTATTTGGGAGGGAGAGGACCACGTCGTTCCAAAAGTGAGAGACGAGTCGACACGTTTTCAATGGGGCAGAGGTCTGTTGTAGGATGTTGGACAAAATCTGAAAATTTTAGAAATATTTATTATGCTGGTTTCAAATTCGTTTTAAAATTGTGTAATTGGATTATTTATTACGATCGGATTATTTAGGGCGATCTCCCATTGAGGCTGAGGTTCCATCGCTCTTGAGGTTAATTACTGTAAAATTAAAATTAAATTCTTAAATTAAGACTTATTCAATTAAATTATCCACTTTAATTTAATGTTTCGTGAATAATAGCATTACAAACCTGTATAATTTATGTAAATAATATTCTCAGACACGTTACCAATGTTTGGAGTAGATTTACAATTTAATATTCAGGTTTTCTTGAATTTAATCCAACGGGAAGGAATTGGTTTTTGCACGTTGTAGTGAGAACACATGTCTCCTGAATCAAAATTAATTTGCCGCTCGACTCAACTCAACGTTCATGAAAGTTGTCGCACATGGGCGTCGCATTTTAGTAAGATTTTTTAGCAAGATTTTTAGTTTTTAACATTTCAAAATTTCAAACATTGCCTGCAGAAGTGTTGAGACAGGGGGACAATGTCTCACGGTAATTCGATGTCTGATCTAACCATGCATGATATGTACATAAGTATATAAACCCCTTCCACCCCTACAAGCCTACAATATTAATATTCCCAGATGTCTGCATGCATGGCTTCCGCCGCCACTGATTTTAAACACATGGAAATATGAACCCTTTATTATTTGAAATATGCTGACAAATTCATAATTTATGTCGATGTTTTCATTTAAATTTTAATTCGTTTTAAAAGAAAAAATAGAATTACATGCATGCATAAATACATATTTAGAAAAGTAGCGGTACCCTATTGTTAAGTGTAGTTTCGTGATAAATTTTGACTTGCTCATCGCAAGATTGACCATTCCGAACTTTCTCTTTCTGATCGTATTAATAATATGATCCCCACCGCTTGACTTGAACGCTTGACTACGCTCCGAATGTGATTTCTAAAGTACCAGTATGTTTTATACAATTTTCAAGTTAATTCGGGTAAGCTTTTCTGCATCAACATACCGACAGACATGGTGATTACATAAGTACTATCCATGACTATACATATATACATAAGTCGAAATTATAACTTGCATAGAACTTGTCTCTTGTTTCATACATGCATTGTAGCGAAAGTTTTGTTATCGGGATGTGATTATCACATAATAATTGCATGATGTATGTAACTATTGCAAGTAACTATGCAAGAAGTTTTTAATTTGTCACGTTATTTCCAGAAATTTACGTAAATTTTCCATTACGTGGTTAAAAGGTTGAAAGCTGAATTTGTATTTGATTATCATGTTTACACATAAATTGACACGTTATGTGCATACTTATCTAAAGGAATCTTCTTTGATAAGTGCATACATAAAATAAATAACTTGCTAAATTTAGGAGTTGGTTCGATTAAGCATTGAACAAACAATTATGGGGACGTGTGTATAATTACACTCATATGTAAGTATCGTGTGGGAATACAATAGATATAGTCTTTCGTGATAAGTGTCATGCTACGTTATGAGATCCGCCATATGGAATACATAATAATATCTACACAGTAGGGTTATAAGTTCCCGCACAAGTATTTCACTGGTTACATAACAAAGTATTGGAGCTATTTGTTAGAAATTTTCTAGGTGAACAAGGTATTAATATTATTATATAGAAAATATAACTTATTTTTCAAAATTTCCCCTACGGGCTTGTATATACATTAGACAAAGGTCGCCACGAGTCGTGTTGCCGGTGAGTTTTAAATGAGTTGAGATGAGTTGGCCTTAAATGCACTATAACTTTTCATCAGCTTACGCAAAATTTAATATTTAAGCATTTTTGGATTCCCAGATAAATTTGGGTTGGAATGGTACAAGTTTCAAATAACCGAAAAATTTCGATTTTTTTAAATTTGAGGCCAAAGTTAAATGAGTTTTAAATGAGTTTAAAACTCATTTAAAACTCATTTAAAGTTTAGCCTAAAATTATAAAGGTAGAAATTTTTGTAGTTATTTGAAACTTGTACCATTCCAACCCAAATTTATCTGGGAATCCAAAAATGCTTAAATATTAAATTTTGCGTAAGCTGATGAAAAGTTATAGTGCATTTAAGGCCAACTCATCTCAACTCATTTATAACTCACCGGCAACACTAGCCACGACAACAGCCCGATGGCAGCACACACCGTTTTCATTTGAAAAACGTTCAAGGCTTTCAGAAAGGATGACTTCTGGCTTTTCAAGCTTGTTTAGACTTAAAACAGACTTGCATCTCTAAATTCATCAGAAGCCATAATCCAGGGGATTAAGGCCGGTAGATACTGAGGGCAACTATTGGGACGAAATAAAATAAGAAAATTTTTTCCGGAGCCAGTTTTGGACAATTTTTGAACTATGCTCAGGAGCAGAGCATTGTTGAAAGTGGTTTTTGAATAGTTCATGGTCCAAGGGTTTAACTATTGGCCCTGCTCATCCATGAAAATTTCAAGCAAATAGCTATAACACTAGATGTGATTTATCAAACATAAGTATTTCTGCGAGAACTTATGAGTTGACTATGTATGTATGTACTTAAGTATATGTATGTAAATAATTCCTTCTTGACTAGTGACGCATGTACCTACACTCAAATCCAGTATTGAAATACCAGCAAGCGGGGGCATTCCCTACGTTTATTGTTGAATACGTACATACATACATAACTCCGTGGAGTGATAGCTCGGTATGAAAGTTTTAACTTGTCAGTAGCAAATTTTTACAGACTGATATTATTTTCATGCCAAGTGGTAGCCTGGTAGTAGCTTTAATACCTGCAAATCAAACCTGCGTGACTATCACATTGTTAAGAGTGTACATGCATGCAGACTTGTATGTTTGAACTAAACCTTACACCATGGGCGTGGTCCACCAGAGCAATTATCCAAATTAGTGTTTCCTTTATTATCATAGGAACCGGGAGTAAATATACCTATGTGCTATTATAATTATGCATTTACTTGTTTTACTCATAAGTTAATTCTTCAGTTTACAAAGCACATCCTGTTTTCTTTCAAATTCTTCATATCCACACAACAGGAAAAACTTTGTGCAGAACTTTCGCCAAAATTGAGTGTGTGCACTACTTAAGTATTTTTGTCCTTCGCTCGTATTTCTTCACTACACGCATTATCTGCTTTGGATGTATATCTTTGTGTTCCACTGCTTGCTAAAGCTCAAAATGCGGTGGAAAAATTCGCAAAAATTTGTTTTCCTTTACGCATTTCTTACTAAATTCTCATTCCCGCCGTGTCATTGTATTCCCATCCCGGCCTATTTTTCCCACTGTACTTTTCACATAAGGACCGACTTTACCCGGTTTGACGTAGCGGGTAGAATAGGTCCAGATATTTATCCAACCGAATTCCCGACATCAAAACAACGACCTCCCGTAGTCTTAACCCATATTAATAAAACAATCGTTACTATGTATCATCAGCGAAGTGCTGGCATGCAAGAAATCCTGTCCACTTATCAGAGTGACGTTACTTATCAAGAAATACCTTCGCGCCATAATGTGTGCACTGTTGTACAACTATTTTCATACTGGTTACCTTCTGGCGATCCATCTTTTCAAATTTTTTTCGCTATTCAACAAGTCCTCGATTCCTGGGTGAACCCGCACTTCATATTTTTCGAAGATACCAACCTGGGCAAAAATCCCATTTTGAAATTTCCCATAGTTTCTCACATTTCTACGACCGCTGTTTTTGGAGTATTTAACAGCGATGTTACTGGCGGAGAGACTAACTTGCTTCGATGGGTTAAAGGAAATCATGGAAGTTATCATGATCTCGTTGGTTCCCAAATATCTGGATTTTCCTCATCCCGGGAACTTATCATTACCTGGGAAATATTAAATTCAAACCTTGCCGGGTCCAAAATTTGCACGGGGTACACGCACCAATGGCACAAAGAAGATTTCTGCTCATTCTACACGCCTAGTGACCGGGTAGCAAGAATGCATCGATTTTCGGTCAACGACTGTGTCAAATCATCCTTCCTTTCTCGGAAGAATGTCTCAGCCACCCTAAAACCTAAAATGGTCCCGGACACTGTAGGCTATATCATCGCAGAAACAATGCCATTCTCCAAAAGGATTAAGTACCTTGTCGGATGCAGAATGTCTTTCTCCTTCGCCTGGATCAAGTATGGCATGCGGACGGAAAGTTACACGTTTTCGGTGTTTCTCGAACCTAAGGAAACCGTGACGAAGGCGAACTTGAGCGCTATCCTGTTGCCTTTCGACGTTGGAATATGGCTCCTAATTCTCGTAATTGGATCAAGTTTAGCGCTTCTATTGTTTCTCTTGTTAGGGAGAGGGACACGAGCGCTGCTCTGGTTTCTGGGAAGTCTTCTTGATCAGTCGGACCTACTATTTTGGTCGAAACCAAATTTTAAATTGCTTCCGAGCATCTGCTTTCCCCCCATCGCTGGATGGACCATGGTCTCTCTATTTCTAGGTTTCGCCTACAAGGGGGAGCTCTTCTCGTGTATGACGTCAACCCCGAAACCAGACGTTCCAAAAAATTTGAGCGATCTACTACGCAGCGAAATACCCTTGATTACGACGACTTACTTCGTTTCTCTTCCTAATAAGGTTCCCAGAGCACCGCTGGAATTTGTTTGTCGCGACCTTCTCGAGACCCTTAATGCTGAGGGATTGCATAGTATCGCCTCTGCACTCCTAAGACGCACCATATTCGTCCCCGCGTTTTATAAGGGGGTAGAAATAGCGGAAAATATTTCCCGCCTGGGGAAAGTTGAGACTTGTGCGAACCCACACGCCTGGAATTGTTCTAGCAGCGAGGGAAGTGTCGAGTTGGGAAATAAATTTGCCGTGATCAGTGTAAAACCAGATATTGCCTCATTTTCCAACTTTTTGAACCATTTTGGGGCAAAATTTATCCAACTGGAGAACGATACCCCGAACCCGATAAGTTTAAAAATGCCTTGGATCGCGTATTATAATGGGGTATATGGCATCTTTTCCCGCCACTTTGGGGCATTAGTGGAATCAGGGATTCATTCCTGGTGGAGGAGAAATTCTCACGTGGCGGGACAAGTTAGGCTTTTGGTGCAGAATAAATTTAAAATTAAGGCGGGCAACGAGTCCGGAAGTATTCCAGGGTTGGTACAACAACTTTGGGTTACCGGTAGGGTCAATATGTTGGGAGATAAGGGAGACTTAGGTGGAATTGAGATTGACGTATTGCTACCACCTTTTATTATTTGGTCGGCCGCCTTGGGGTTTGCGTGGGTCGTGTTTTTGTCCGAATTTCTGACTCACACGGCGATTGTTGCGTTAAATAGGAAAATTTATAGTTTCGTGAAATCAATAATTAAATTTTG